TTTGTTCCTCATCCCTCTGAGAAACAAGCTGCTCTTGTTAACCACCACACTGCATATTCCAAGTTTTTATGACTCAGAAAGCTATTTTTAAAAAGGAAAATAGATGGCAAACAATACATCATTTCTCATGTAAGCAGATAATTTATTACCTATAGAATATTTCAAAACAACCAAAATCCCAGAATAGCTAAGAAAGTCGTCATGATATAAATCCCCTCAGTTATGTCTAGAATATTTAAAATTTAAATATGTTTCCATTTTCTCTAAAATTGATTAGAAATAGAAAAAAGAAGCAGTGTTAATTGCAGTCATATGCAGTTAAGTGAATTGATTCTGGATTCTGAGACTGGATGGAAATTGAATGTGCTAAAAGTAGTATTCTGTAATTAAATAAAACTGTGCTGAGCTCTTTAATTAGTCAACAGAACTTATTCTAAGTATAACAGTTAGTCCTAGTGTATCTCATTAAAAAGAAACTGGGAACCCCACCTCACTTAAGGTTGGTTGTTCTCCATCATAATCTTACTTAACCTTACTATTAAATCTTACTTAAACTTACTATTCTAACTTAAAACTGGAGGAAAGTGGATGCAACCTTTTATAACCGAGATGATTGTATTATGAAGTCTTCCTTAGCCTTTCATTCAGAAGACTGATAGTAATTTTAAAAAACTAAGGAACCTCATGTGGAGATTACAAAATCTTAGAGACAATGGGAGAGCACTTGAATCCATTAAAATATATTGCTTCACCCACGGGTGGGCTTGAGAAAGTCAGTAGAACTTCAAAACTTTACTTTTAAGTTTGTCTTTATTTGTCTGTATACAAGTTAAAACTGCATCTTGAAAAACTATTCAAGAAATGAATGTCCTAAACTTGTCTTCAAGGTCTTCAGTTGCTGAATATTTGGGTTAGGCTTATTTTTTTAAAGAAAGAAAAAATAATTCATTTTTCTTTGTATTGCTCTTACTTTTTTAAATGGTGGTAAGCAATGTATATTTGTAAAAGTTACTCAGAAAAAAAAAGACAAAAGTGTAAGAAGCTTAATGTTACTCATCACTTTCCTACAAAGACAGAGAGACAGTAATATACTTTTGACATAATAGAATATTTATTCCAAATCCTTTGCATAGCTATTGCTTTTCATATTTGAGATCAATTTTTTGCATAATAGTAAAAAAGGGTTATTGAAAAACAATTTAATTATATTTCTAACAACTTGGGTAGGCAGAAACTATGCCAAATTCTTTTAGCAGCTCAGATGATTTGGATAAAAATAGAAGTAACACAAATTATCAAATATCCTTTGTCACAGACAGGCCTCCACTGAAGGGATAGGATCCATTTTTTTATGATAGGAATGAATAATGTGGGCAAAATATAGGAGGAGGAAACCTACTATTAATTTAATAGTCCAGAATCAGTGACGTTGGACTGGTTTGTTCTCCATGAACATTATAGCCAGAAGAACTAAAACTATACATACCATTCAGAGCAACTTTGCTTTTGTTTTTGTTTTTATTTTTATTAGTGAAACACCATGAGGTACAGTTGTAGACTTAAAAAGTTTTGTGCTTGGGTTTCAATTATACAATGTTCAAGTACCCATCCCTCCACCGGTGCCCATTTTCCACCACCACTGATCCCAGTATACCTACCACCCCCCACCCCACCCCCATCCCACTCTGCCTCTGTGTCAGGGCATTCCCTTTTGTTCAGAGCAACTTTGAAGAAGAGTTTTAACCACAGAAGAACTACCACCCAGGCATGAATGTGGAGTGAGAGGGAATCTAGGAAGATTAAAAGATGATTTATACACCTATAAACCAAGGCGGGGCTGGAGCAATAGGACAGCAGGTAGGGCATTTGCCTTGCACGCAGCTGACCCCCTCTCTGAGAGCCCGGCAAGCTACCGAGAGTATTCGATATGCCAGACACAGTAACAACAAAGTCTCCAATGGAGACGTTACTGGGCCCGCTCGAGCAAATCGACGATCAACGGGAGGGCAGCTGACCCGGGTTCGATTCCTCCGTTACTCTGTCCAACAAGCTGTAGAGAGTATCCCACCCACATGGCAGAGCCTGGCAAGCTCCCTGTGGGGTATTCGATATGCCAAAAACAGTAATAAGTTTCACAATGGAGATGTTCCTAGTGCCCGCTCAAGCAAATGGATGCATGACAGGATTACAGTGCTACAGTGCTATAAACCAAGGAGAAGGGTTTCAAAAGAAACCAATCTTTCCAACATCTTAATCTTAGACTTTCAGTCTTCATAACTGGATGGAAAGAGCTGTTGTTTAAGCAAACACTCCATTCATAGTGCTTTTCTAAGACCAAGAAACAATTATCCCTGAAGACTTGAGTACGATAAATACTTGTTTTCGTAGCCCAGCATGGGAGGAAGAGAATGAATGCAGATTTCTTGTCCACTGTGATAGAAGGGACATCAGTTTGGAAACTGAAAACTCAAAAGCCTTCTTTTAGCTGAATAACTAATTTTTCTGTGTTTAATTGTTGTGAGGGCTACGCCTGGAAGTGATGGGGAGTCAGATCTTCTTATGCAGAGGATTTAACCCAGAAGCAAAGCATGTGCTCGATCATTTGAGCCATAGTGTTTTATGACATTTTATGATATGACTCTAATCCTTGCTCTCCAGAGCATCTGGTGTCTTGAATACTATGCTGTGTTTCAGATAAGTTAGGCATGAAAAAGACTTTTTATAGTTAATCTGAAGACTTTCCCACCCGTAAAACATGACTTGTATGATCTTTTGGACCATAATCTATTTTCAAGTAAAAGATTTTAATAAATATATAGTCACTTAGAATCTGGATTCCCTTCTTAAAAATGTTAGGGACAATAATTAGGATGAAAATAAAAGTCACTGTCTTCCGGTTGTTCATCGATTTGCTCAAGGGGGCCCAGTAACGTCTCCATTGTGACAATTGTTACTGTGTTTCGCATATCGAATACATCACAGGTAGCGTGCCAGGGTTTTGCCCTGAGGGCAAGATACACTCAGTAGTTTGCCGGGCTCTCCGAGAGGGGTGGAGGAATTGAACTCGGGTTGGCCATGTTGGCTGCATGCAAGGCAAACACCCTACCCGCTGTGCTATCGCTCCAACCCGAAAATAGAAGTAACATTTTTTTTAATTTTATTGAATAACCGTGAGATAGTTACAAGCTTTCATGTTTGGGTTACAATCACACAGTGATCAAACACCTATCCCTCCACCAGTGCACATTCCCCACCACCAATCTCCCCAGTATAGCCCCCCTTTCCAATTCTGCCATTGCCTCTATGGGAGGCAGACAATACTCTCTCTCTCTCTACTTTGGGGCATTATGGTTTGCAGTACAGATACTGAGAGGTCATCATGTTTGGTCCTTTATCTACTTTCAACACACATCTACCATTCCGACCAGTTCCTTCAGCCATCATTTTCTTATTGATCCCTTCTCTACTCCATCTGCCTTCTCCCCTCTGCTAATGAGATGGGCTTCCAGCTATGGAGCAATCCTCCTGGCCCTTGTATCTACTGTCCTTGAGTTTCAGCCTCATGTTATGTTATTCTATACTCCACAAATGAGTGTAGTCCTTCTATGTCTGTCCCTCTCTTTCTGGTTCATTTCAAGTAGCATCATACTCTCCATGTCTATCCACTTATAATAAAATTTCATGACTTCATCTCTCCTAACAGCTGCATAGTATTCCATTGTGTAAATGTACCAAAGTTTCTTTAACCAGTCGTCTGTTCTTGGGAACTTGGGTTGTTTCCAGATTTTGGCTATTGTGAACAGTGCTTCAATGAACATATAGGTACAGATGTCATTTCTTCTGTGCTTTTTTGCATCCTCAGTATATATTCCCAGAAGTGGTATAGCAGGGTCATATGGAAGCTCAATTTCTAGTTTTTGAAGGACCATCCATATTGTTTTCCACACAGGCTAGACTAGTAGGCATTCCCACCAACAGTGAAAGAGCATCCCTTTTTCACACACCCACACCAGCACTGGTTGCTTTTGTTCTTTTGAATGTGTGCCATCTCTCACAAGATGATATCTCATTGTTTTGATTTGCATCTCACTGATGACTAGAGATGCGGAGCATTTTTTCATGTGCCTTTTGGCCATTTGTATTTCTCTTTTGAGGAAACTTCTGTTCATTTCTTCTCCCAGTTTTTGGTGGGGTTGGAGGTTTTTTTAGAAGTAACATTTTTAATCATTCTGCCATGGGAAGGTCCTTAAAGAGCTCTTAGTCCAATTCCCACCCAAAGCCACATACTGCATCTTTTTTATCTGAAAGACAAGTTTGCCACAAAGTGCCAAACATGGACTTGGAGGCCATATTGGAGATCCAGGCTTTGTGACCATAACACTGGGGGGGGGGGGGGGGGGGGGTGTTTGTTTGGTGAAACCCATGTCTGGTAGTGCTCAGTAGTAGTCAGTTTCATGCAAAGCAAACACCCTAATTGTTGTACTACTACTTTGGCCCCTGTGATCATACCCGTTTAGCTTCAGTGTTCTCCCTGCACAGCACATCATACAAAGGAGGCTCCAATAATGTTACTTTCCTTGTCTGCAGCCAACTATTTCCCCATATCACTGTCTAACCACTCCCAGGCCATTACTCTCATTTTTTATCACACAAGAACTGTGCTAGGAAAGGCTCTTTCTAAAATGTGTGCCTTATACTCACACTTGGAGCTGTTCAAGTAATGTACTTTTAGCTGAATTGGATATATGGAGACCGGGTCCTTCATACAGTAGTTATTTTTCTATTGGAGAAAGTCACATCTAATTCAATTCAATACTTTGGCCACTAAGTACCCTCCAGAAGCTCTTCAGCCAAGAGTATCATTGGACATGGCAAATCTGAACATTTTATTTCTTCTCAAAGTACATTTTGACTTATCAAGAAATGTGTCTCTCCAGGAATAAGCCAGATAATGTAGAATGATATTAAATCAATATCTCTTCATTTTTCTTGCCTCCTAGTCAGATACAGAGTTTTGGGATAAGATGCAAGCAGAATGGGAAGAAATGGCCCGGAGGAACTGGATCTCTGAGAACCAAGAAGCCCAGACCCAAGTTACCATCTCAGCCAGCGAGAAGGTGAATTCTCTTCTGATATACATGGTTTCTCACCAGTTTCTCAACCTCTTTGAATTATATTTTTGTAAATTAGTTAATAACTATTATGAAAAAAATCAAGAATTAAACAGATTGATGTCATTTGACCTAAGATAAATAGTTAAATAAAAACGATGTGATTATCTAGTTTGTGAAGGCTGAAAAGCAAGAATGGAATATCCTTTATTGTATCACTGTTAGACAATGTGACAGCCACACAGCACAGACTGACACAGAGAGTAAAACAAGAAGTAGTTTCTCAACCTTTGACAACTATGCCTTTGTCAGTCAGGCATGTGAACCCTGTTGATGAGCCTGCAATGGTGTGGTAAGGGGTGGGCAGGTGAATAAACTGGGGACTTAGGACTATGTTTCATACAAAACAAGGGACACAGTGAAAAGATACCGTTCATATAACCAGGTGGAGACTCAAGCATATTTCAAAGCTAGTCCCCCTAATAAGCCCCAGAGATCATCTGAGTGCAGAGAACAACCAGCTAAATTATCCAAGAAGTCCCAATTGCCATAGATTTAAGGTAGAAAGAGTTCTATAATTTTCTTATGAAATATGTGTAGAAAGAGGGGGAGATACTACATATGTATATGCATATATACATTTGTGTTATGGTGGAGGAAGTCTCAGTAACACACGGTTCTGGATACTTTTATAATATTTCATTCGATCCAAAAAATACTGTCTTCACTGCACTAGCTGAGGAGGAAACGATGGTAGTCTCGAATGTGAAGTGATTTGCAATCTACATAGTCATTATGATGTCTTCCTTCCCCCTCCACCCCATTCCCATTATTCTGAGTCCCTCTCTCAGCCAGGCAGTCTCTAAAATCAGAACAGCCATCTCATCAGATGTCTTTCCGACAAAAATATAAAAATTGAGTGAGAGGTGAGGATACTGATGTGGACTGTTGGACTTTGGGCTCTAATCCATGCTCACCGGGGCATGCTTGTGTCCATGTGAGACTTAAGTCTCACACAGAGACTTCTAAGGTGTTTTCTTATTCTAAGCACCAACAGAGAATGAAAATTTCCATCTGATCTATTTTTAAATCTTAGCAGGAGCATCAACCAATTAGCTTATTTGTAGCTATCAAATTAGAAGGGTTTTATGATTGTCTTAACTAGTAAGACTGCAATGAATTATATTCCTCAGCTGTTTCCAAAGGAAGTTTAACTTGGGACAAACTTTCTCCAAAAAGCAATTCAACTACACAGATCAAAGAGTCTCAAAATAGTTCATAGCCTTTCACCAACTGAGTGCCTTTAGAAGTCATTCCTGCTGTGATAATCAGTGCAGACAAAGATTTGAACATAAAGCTTTTAATGTAGCTTTACTTACAAAAAAATATTTAAAGTAATTGGAATATCCAATAAGAAATTAATTGAACAAATGTTAATATATTTGTAGCAATCAAGACTAAGCTTATATGTGACTGCATATATATAGAATAAGCTTATTTTGTACTCATAGAAAAATTCTAGATATTTATAGAATCTGCATTATTTAAATTTTTATAAGGAAGATCTGCAACTTTAAAACATGCATCCTCAATTCAGTTACATAGTCCTCAGTGGAGCAAAAACTGGTTTGAAGAGTTTCAGGGTAAAAAAAATCTCTTAGTTCAATGGTTTGTAGCCTCCACAGGCCAAAGTACACAGGGAGATTTAATTATATGGTACTAATATTCCCGAGAATTGGATTGTAGTACTTAGCAAAAAATGTGTTCCAAAAGTCCGTATTTCTAAAATCATTGGGGTGAAGGGCAGAAGGAAAACCAATAAGAGAAACATCAAAAGGAAAACAAACTAATCTATTACAGCACTCCTATTTGGGCTTCAGCATGACTGATAACCTTTGGCTTCCTTTTATATCATCCCATAACAAAGGAGTGTCTTAAATGTGTATAATGAAAATGGGCTGCGTTGATAAGAAAAAAGCAGTACTTTAAAGTTAACTTGTATTGGGGCTGGAAAGATAACACAGTGGGTAGGACATTTGCCTTGCACACAACTGACCCGGGTTCGATTCCCAGCATCCCATATGGTCCCCTGAGCACTGCCAGGAGTAACTCCTGAGTGCAGAGCCAGGAGGTAACCCCTGTGCATCACCGATCACCGGGTGTGACCCAAAAAGCAAAAATAAATAAATAACGTTAACTTGTATTAATAAATTAAAATTTCAAAAGAGCTAACTGAATGAAATCGCGCAGGACTAGATGGTGATCGGCCGTTCTGTGTTTTGCAGGGCTACTACTTTCACACTGAAAATCCCTTCAAGGACTGGCCGGGGGCGTTTGAAGAAGGCTTGAAGCGGCTGAAGGAAGGGGACCTACCAGTTACCATCCTGTTCATGGAAGCAGCGATTCTGCAGGACCCTGGGGATGCAGAGGTATCGCTTCCTTTACCCCATCTCAGAAAGGGGCTGTTGAGCTTACTGGAAGTCAGAGGATGGCACTGAACTCCACATGGTGACATTTCATCAAGTAGAGGCCCAAAGGAGTGGCCCTGGCTTACGTGTGATATATCTTAGTCATATGTGTTTGCAAGTTACAATTAGGTACTTGGTTTCTAACCAAATCTGCAGCCTCCTGTAGGACCCCAAAAGAAAGGATCAGGAAAAAATAAAATTATCAACTAGAAAACTCAGTAAGTTTTTAGGGAATTATCATTTCATCCGGGTCTAGAGGCCACCCCCACTTAAACCCTGAATTGTTCATTCTGCATGTATAGAGCCCTTTCTAGCTCCCTAGAATTCTGCCAAACCCTGACTTCAGATGTTGAACAATGTCGGGGGATATGGAACAGTTGAAAAGACATGTTTATGGTCTATCTGGAAATGGTAGTCAATAAATCACTGCAGTAATAAATGCAGGGTCAGGCCCTGCGCCATGTTCCGGGAGCAGAGAGCGAGCCTCCTGACCCACGGCCCTTACCAGCAAAGCCCAAGCTGGTTTTGGAAGGAGAGAAGGTCCCTTTAGGACAGCATAAGAGTCTGGTTTTAAAAGGTAATAATTTTTAAGTGGGCAGAGGGTCACGAAGACTGGCATGGGAGGTGGGGAGAATGGCCAGGTGGTAAAAAAAAAAAAGGAGAGTCTTGAAAGGAAGCCTAGGAGAGTCTTCTGGAAGAGTCCTGGAAGCCTAGGAGAAATGCAGGAGACTCTTCTCAGAGAAATGAGTTTTGCATGTTAGAGGGGGAAAAACACTTTTCTGGGCATGAAGAGCCATTTCAGTGGCACCTGGAGAAGTGCCAAAGAAATAAGCGAAGGCTGGAAATAAAGATAGTGGCAGATATAAAATATCTTTTTTCCATTTCTAAGTAATTATCAGGAAATAGGGATATTTCCAGAGGAAGGAACATAATATTTAAGGGCAAGTGAGTCGTTCTCGTGCTGAGAAGGCAATCTGATAGTGATCAGACCTCTAGGCTTTGCTGTCCCAATTGTCTATCCCAAATCCTGATTCTGCTGCAAGCTAGCTGCAAGTCACATGTTCTTTTTTTTTTTTTGGTGTGGGGGGGTCATACCCAGCGATGCACAGGCATTCCTCCTGAATCTGCACTCAGGAATTACTCCTGGCAGTGCTCAGGGGACCATAGGAAATGCTGGGGATCGAACCTGGGTTGGTCGTGTGCAAGGCAAACTCCCTACCCACTGTGCTATCACTCCAACCCCCTCAAGCCAAATGTTCTGGACAAGCCAGTTAAACCCTGTAAGCATCCATGTCTCATTTTATGGAAATCACAATCATAGTAACTCTGTCCTGGGGTGCTGCAGGGATTAAACCCATTCTTGCCAATAAAGTGCTCACGTTATTTTCAGCCTTCACTATTACTATTGGTTGTCCTTCATTCATAGAGAAAAAAGCGTGTGAATAGATCTAAATCTCCAGGTATCTTGATTAACAACAACCGAAAGTTTCAGTGAAATGAGAATGAAGTGAGAGCTGGTGTAATGACACAAAATATTGGAACTTTTAAAGCAACACCTGATTCATTGTGGGAGGAGTTGTACTAATATAAAACTGAAGGCCACCATGCAATAATTAGGAATGTCACCTTACCTAGGGTTCTTTGGGGGTATATTCACAAGAGCTCTGGCAGATCAAAAACATATATAGAAAAATTTGGGTGGGGGGAGAACAAACCTGGCTGTGCTTATGGCTTATTCCTGGCTTTGTGCTCAGGAATTACTCCTTAGGGGAACAAATGAGATGCCAGGGATTAAAGCTGGGCCTGCAGTATGGAAGGCAAGCACATTATCTTACCATCTATCCAGCCCCTAAAAACTCATACATTTTTACCCTAGGTAAAACATAAGAAAATCAGGGCTCCAGAATGGGAGACTAACACCCAAAAGTAGTAGAGCTAAGTACCAGGAGGTTTGCTCCACAGGTTGGAAACCAGTGTCACACTCTAGGGGAAAAGGCATCTCAGATAGAGAAGGAAACACCACGTAAAGGGTGCTGGGAGGACCCATTTGGGTTGAAAGATGCGTGCCAAAAGTAGACTATAGACCAAACATGATGGCCACATAATACCTCTATTGCAAACCACAACACCCAAAAGGAGAGAGAACAAAAGGGAATGCCCTGCCACAGAAGCAGGGTGGGGTGGTGGGGGATGGGGTGGGGGTGGTGGGAGGGATACTGAGACGATTGGTGGAGGTGGAGGGATGCGTAAACAATCATTGTATGCCTGGAATGCAAACACAAAATTTCGTTAAGTTTGTAACTGTATTTCACGGTGATTCACTAATAAAAAATTAAAAATTTGAAAAAAAATCAGGGCTCTTGGTAACTAAGGCAACTCAGAAAGGCCCAGAGGCATTCATAATCTAAGGAGATTCCAGGGACCCTAATGGGCATCTGTAGAAAGTATAAAATGACCTGACCATGCCCAAACCCTTGGAAGAAGCCCCCAGGATAAGACTGTTTTGTCATCCTTTATTAAGACTTCTAGAGTGCAGGGATGATAAACTCAGAATAAAAGGTACTCTGTATGCATTTGTGAGACTTTCAAAATCACTGACAGTGTTGGGAAAAGAGTTGAGAGGAGTGGAAATGAATGCCTTGCATATGGAATACCCCGAGTTCAATCCTTATCATCATATTCCCGTTTGCAATTTTTACTTCTAAAAATAAATAGAAATTTTATATAAAAAAATTTTAAATCTAACTACTGCTGTTTATAAAATCTAATTTCATCTTATGCTTCTCGAGCTTTCTTATTGTAAACTTTAGATTCTTAAATTCCATTTCTGGGCTATTTTCTACTCTCTTCCTCCAAATCTATAATTTTTTCTTTCTGTACTTTTAAGATATAAAATATCATAAAATCTCAGGAACTGGGTTTCCATAACCCTGGGTCACAGGACAAAAAAAAAATACTAAAGCATTTGAAAATAATGGTAGAGAATTTTGCAGTAGCCTTCACTGAGAGTCTGAGTGAGGAGATGCAAGTGATGTATTTCCTTTTTACGAGATTCTCTAGAACAGTTGGCCCTGCACACAGGAGGCTGTCACAGGTAAACAAACCGATGAAAGCACAGCAGTCATTCAGCTTCCTCCTGCAATATTGACCTCCCTTGTTTTATTTACAGGCTTGGCAGTTCCTTGGGATAACCCAGGCAGAGAATGAAAATGAACAAGCTGCTATTGTCGCCCTCCAGAGGTAGATGAAACTAAGTGCATCCTGGTTAAAAGTGCTTCATGCTCATCTTCTGACCCCGATTTAAGCACATTGTCAGGAATTTTTCCAGAATAAGTGCTGAAATGTCACATATTATGTACATTCAGCACTATGCTGACAAAACAGAATTTGTGAACAAACAATGTTCTTAAATTGCAGTGTTTTACCATCTATAAATCAGTTGATTTTCATTGTCATCCACAAGAGTCAATGTCAAAAGACTCATTGAATAAAACAGACTCATTGAAGAATTGGGTTTTTGTGCGTTCAGGTCCTTTGCTGAATTTGAAAGTTTCCTTAAGGCGAAACACATTCAAAATAATCTCAAGTAATCTTCGTTCCTTTTTTGCTGTGGAGAATCTCCTGAGCTAGTTTCAGTTAACTGAAGGCATCAGAGACCCTCTCTACCTATCTAAATTTTTTTTGGCAATGGTAATATCACACCTTTCTTGATTATAGGCCCTACTTTAGCCCTGGAAAAATATCCCCTGCCAAATATATTTCTGTTTCCTGAATTTTCTTGTTAATTAATAACCTACCTTTCAAACCTACACGCACATAAACAGGCTCATGATCACACTCTTCCTAAAACACTGACATCAGTACCTCTAGGACTCGCTACTTGAGTCTGATTCAGAGAGTAGCAGCATAGGGTCTGCCCCAGACCAACTGTTTCAGAATCCGAGTCTGTATTTGACCAGATCCTCAGGTAATTTGTATGCACATCAAAGCTGAAAATGCCTTTATTGGGCCCAGGAAATGGCTCACAAGCTCTGCATGTGGGATCCCCACTTTGAGTGCCCAGTACCAATGATCCACTGAGTCCTGACCAGAAATATCCCTGAGCATGTCTAGGTGTTGTCCAAAAACAAAATTTAAAAAACAAAAACACCAATCAAGCAAGAAGACCAGTCACTAAGCTGATTCCATTTATCACTCATTTGAATGGGTCTTAACTTTCTCTAAAATATTTTTGTCCCAGTTTCCATGTGGATAAACAGAGGCATTTCCAGAGACTTAACATAAGCCAATTTAGCAATGCTTTGGCACTATTTAATTAATAAAGACCTCAAAGTTTCTAAAGACTCTAAAAAAAAAAACCCTTAATATTGCCTGCTTTTGTTGTTGTTGTTCACCTTCTTTCAGATGCCTAGAATTGCAGCCCAACAACTTGAAAGCGTTGATGGCCTTGGCTGTGAGTTATACCAACACCGGCCATCAGCAGGATGCCTGTGACGCACTGAAGAACTGGATTAAGCAAAATCCAAAATACAAATATCTTGTGAAGAGCAAGAAAGGATCTCCTGGGCTCACCCGGCGGATGTCTAAGTCTCCAGTTGACAGGTATCTTTCTTGTTGAATGACCGTGGCAGTCAGAACCCATCCACTGATTAATCACCTCAGAATGACTGAACCTTAGGCCCCACCAATGCCCATTCCTGCATGTTTTATACGACAGGTAGAAAAGCAGCTAGAAGAACAAGTTAAAGAACTGTCACTGTCACTGTCCTCCCATTGTTCATCGATTTGCTCGAGCGGGCCCAGTAACATCTCCATTGTAACACGTGTTACTGTGTTTGGTATATCGAATACATCACGGGGAGCTTGCCAGGCTTTGCCATGAGGGTGAGATACTCTCGGTAGCTTGCCGGGCTCTCCGAGAGGGGCGCAGGAATCGAACTCGGGTCGGCTATGTTGGCCGCTTGCAAGGCAAACGCTCTACCCGCTGTGCTATCACTCCAGCCCAAGTTAAAGAACAACACTGATAAAATATAGATGCTTGGACAGAGCAACCTGGATCTCTGTGGGCACTCACAGACAGTGATCAGTGAACCATATTTTATTGTTTGGGGGGTTTTTGTTTTTTTTCTTTTTGGGTCACACCTGGTGATGAACAGGGGTTACTCCTGGCTCTGCACTCAGGAATCACCCCTGGCGGTGCTCAGGGGACCATATCGGATGCTGGGAATCAAACCCGGGTTGGCCCCATGCAAGGCTGTTCTATTGCTCCAGCCCCAGTGAACCATATTTTAAAGCCAAAAGTTGTGGACATATATAATTGACCTAAGATAAATAGTAGTAAGCTTTTGATACATCATGTTTCATAAGACCTGCAATTTAAGTGGTAAAAATGGAAGACTTTTCTGGGGATTTTGTTTGCTTCACAGTAAATCATGATACAAAATTCTTTCTCAAGTGGGTCTTGACAAACTTCACCCTGGGCATTGGCACTCATCAGATCTATAGAACTCCCCCCTTTGAAGACCTTACCTAGCAGTCTGTCTGTATGTGTCAAAATATTTCATGAGAACCAGCATGGATTCTTTTAAATATGATATTAACAGTGCTCTGGTTAAGCTAAGATAGTCTAAGCAATATTTTGCCTGCCTGTAATGTTTTCTTGGAATAGAGAACATAATAAGAAATCCAGTATGTTCAAACTACTTGGATTATAAGTCAAATTTGTTCCCTCGTAGCTCTGTTCTGGAAGGAGTGAAGGAATTATATCTGGAAGCTGCCCACCAAAATGGAGACATGATCGACCCAGACCTACAAACAGGGCTGGGGGTCCTGTTTCACCTGAGTGGAGAATTTAATAGAGCAATAGACGCATTTAACGCTGCCTTAACTGTTCGGCCAGAGGTAAGTGCACAGCAAGAAAACTTAAGACTCTATGTTGAAACCAAATTTCACTAGCTATACTGTCTACATTTCAGCCCTGCATCCATGGCTGAAAGTGATTGGCACAGACTACATAGTGCTGTTCACATCTAAGTATCTAAAATAGAAGCACGAACACCTGACAGCATTCAACAAAGCAAACTGCTCTTTGATCAATGACAGTCACTGCACAGAGTAACTCAGAAACATTTCTGCGTCATCCTCCACATCACGGTTCCTGTCTTGGGGTGAACTTTTAGCCACCCTCTTCCTTATACAGGGCTTATGGGGATCCTGTGTTTTTGAAACTTGTTCTGGTGTCTAGTGATCTCATTGTGTCCTCAGGACTACTCCTTATGGAACCGTCTGGGGGCCACCTTGGCGAACGGGGACCGCAGCGAGGAGGCGGTGGAAGCCTACACGCGTGCACTGGAGATCCAGCCTGGCTTCATCCGCTCCAGATACAACCTGGGGATAAGCTGCATCAACCTGGGCGCCTATAGGTGAGCCTGGCCGGGGTGCAGATGGAGAACCAAGAGCCACACTCAAGGGTTGACTATGAATCACTTGAAAGCTTGTTTCCCAAGTTAAAAAATGTCTCCTTTTCTGGGAACAGTCCTCCCCCTCCTCTTTAGGACCCTCAGACCCAGAGACCAACCAGAGTGGGAAGTTTCCTTCAGTGTTTTTCTCAATCTTGAGAGAAGTTATCTTCTGGGCAACTTGTGAAGTGAAGATAACAAGACTGTTTCCTCAGAGATATACTATAGTTGACTAGATTGGGAACAAGTATCTGTTTATTTAACATCCCCATGGGCAACTCTGAGATACATGAGGAGCCCAGCACTTCGTTTTTTCCATTAAGAAAAAAGAGCACTTGAAGGGTGGAGTTGAAGACCTAGATGAATGCCTTACGAAGGTCACAAAGCCAGTTCTTGTCAAAACATAGCCAAGAATCCCTTTGGGGGCACATATGCTGCCCAAGCCCCTGTGCTGCTGAGCACATGTGGCACCTGAGCACATGCGTCACCCGCATCTCCCCTCTTGAGATGTGTACTTTCATGCTTTCATATCTAATGCAGGGGTGTGTGTAGGGCTTCTCTCCACCTTTGGAGAAGCCCGGGTTCTCTTTGGAGCATGTCACTATCTCTCACTTCCTCTCCCTCTTTCCCCTTCATAAAAGCCTCCCATTCCCTAAGACTAATTTGCCAATGAAATTAAGTTTATTTTCAAAGAAAATTATATTTGCATTCAACTTACTCTCCTGTGAAATGTCTTTCCTGACTCCTCCTTGTTTTGGAGGTGTTGCTTCTCTTTACTACCTTAGCAGGAGCCATGGATGACTTGTTTAATAACAGGTATTGATTTTATGATTGGAAATGAGAGAGATACATTATTAATTTTAAACTTCATCCAAATAATGTAAACCCTTTCTCATTTCCAGAAAGATCCAGGATCTTCAGATTAAATGCATTTACATTCAGTTCACAGCTCTGATGTTTACTGCTTTGTGATTCTGAAGATAACGTTGAGTCACATGTTCTTTACTACTTAAAAAATAAAACAGAGCTAATAATATCTATCCAGCAGGATGGTTGTGGGTTAAATGTAATTGCCTAGCACGAAGAAGATGCTCAATATTTAGTAGACGTTTATGATTATGACCGTCATTGCCACCATCATTAGTACCATTATTATTTAGATAAGTCATTAAAATTCTGCATACAAGATTGCATTTTGTTGACATCTGAAGAATTGTGTTTCTGAGCTGCATTTGGCCATTATGCCTAAATCAAATATTGAGGGTTTAGAAACTAGTGCTGCGTTTAGAAAATAATGCTGCATTTATACTAAAAGGATCATTAATGAACATGAGTCATTAGTTTTGAGCGGGAACATTAGGTGACAGTGTTTCTTATATGTGGATCTTTCTCAGGTCAAAGTAGTGTTGCATGAATCTAAGCACTGCTTGTGGAGTCCATGCACTACGCCTCTCAGAGCCTTTTGTTTTTCATTGCAGATTGTGCCAGAATTAATTCTGTGACACTTCCCTCCACATCCACTGATGAGATCTAACAATATCCATTTTCCTGTATTCATACAGTTTTCCTAACCTGATTTATTTCCATTGTTTTTCATTTCCAGTTATGTCACATGTATATGAATTTTGTGAAACATGTTAAGCCCCCGTTTTAGGAACTAGAAAGAAGTATATGAATATGCATGTACAATTATACATGCTCAATTTTAAGAAGGATTTTATAAAGCTTCTGGATAATTTTTATTGTAACTTTGTACTGAAGGAAACAGTATTTGGAGGCACATAAAATACTTTCTTAAATAGAAATGACATAAGGATTGGGGGTCAGGGGTTGTGACCATTTTTGTGGTGGTGGGTGTAATAACTTTGTACAGAAATGCCATGTATTTTAACACTATTGTAACCCTCTTACCTAAACTAAACTATTTTTTGAATACTTTTGTGGGGCCAGATTGATTGTATAGGAGTTAGGTGCCTGCCTTACATGCATCTAATCCCAGTTTGATCCCTCGAACCGTATATGATACCTCAAATACTATCAGGAGTAAGCCCTGAGAACAGAGCCAAGCTTTAAAATTGTAGATGAATGTTACTCAGATGTCTCTGCATTCATAACTGCTGTGCTATTAGAAAAAGTCAGGCTACTTGTTTGACTAGGGCCAGATGCTAGACATTAGTTATCAAAACCATATTTGCAAATGAATTTTCTTCAAATCACTCCTCCAATAGGGGAGAAAGAAGATGTATTAGTGAGTGACAGTGGTTTTCTATTACTTCTCCCATGTGACATTTCTAAGTAAATTTTGCTTTACTCTTTCTGATTTTAGTTAACAATACGGTATCACTGTGTCACTGTCATCCTTTTGGTCATCGATTGCCTCCAGCAGGCCCCAGTAACGTCTCCTTCGTCCTAGCCCTGAGATTTTAAAAAGTGTCACTTTCGAGGCTCTTTCAGGGTCAGGAGAATGAGACCCATCATTGTTACTGGTGTTTGGCATATTAACAATACATTAAATAATAATTTTTCATAATAGTTATGAGATTATCATAAAGTCTTAATGTAATGATCCAAAACAGCACAGTTGATTAAGGACTTTAGACTAACATAACTTAATCCAGTATTGTTTTATCTTTTAAGTTTGCTAATTCAGATATTTGTTACATTTTCAGTAGCTTTTTGTTTGAATAAGGATCTAAACAAAGTCTACATGCTACAATGAACTGATAGAGCTTTTATGTTTCCATTATCCTTTGAAAAGCATTTCCTTTTCTTATTATTTATTTATGACATAGCACTGTAGCACTGTCCTCCCGTTGTTCATCCATTTGCTCAAGCAGGCACCAGTAACGTCTCCATTGCGAGATTTGTTGTACTGTTTTTGGCATATCGAATACGCCATGGGCAGCTTGCCAGGCTTTGCCGTGCAGGCGGAATACTCTCGGTAGCTTCCCGGGCTCTCCGAGAGGGGTGAAGGAATTGAACCCGGGTTGGCCGCGTGCAAGGCAAATGCTCTACCCACTATGCTATTGCTCTGGCCCATTTATGACATATAGTTGATGTTATTTGTACTAACTTCTAGTGTTGACTGATTGTGTTTTTCTAGTTACAATGATCATAATCCTTCATCCCTGTACTTCCTGATTAACTGGTAGTCACAGGATTTGGGGGGGGTGAGGGTTGGTTTTGGTTTGAGGGCTCAGGGTCTCCTACAGGCTGTGTGCTCAGGGATCATTTCTGGAAGTGCTCAAAGCATCATATGCAGTGCCAGGATCCAACCCAGGTGGGATGCATGCAAGACAAGTGCCTTAATCCCTGTGTGCTATCTCTCCAGCCCCAAGAATCTTAATTAAATTCAGTGACAGCTTTCAAAAGGCAAGAATGAATATTTCCTGGGTAGTTTTGTGTTCTTTCTCTTGCATTATGTCATGAGAGACAGTGGGTACATGTGTTGATGTTAATATTGGTAGAGAGAACATTTTTGGAAAACTTCTGTAATGACGTTTTCACCAATCTTCTCTCTAAATATTAGTTGTGTTCTATTTCCTGAAAAAATTTTCCTCGTTAGCTATACAGTCCTTGAATAATGTCATTTGGCTCGTCATCATTTCCTTCTAATGACAAAAATGAAATATAAAGTATAAATAGTCAGTTCCCAGCAAGGGCCACTGTCAGTGGAGTGTGTAAGTTTGAAGTTCTCCCTGCATCAGTGTAAGTCCTCTCTGGGCACTCAACTTTCCTCCTATATCCTAAAACTATTAATGTGAAGATCACTGGAATCTCAGTTACCATTGTCTGAGCACCCCTGTGTGTGTGAGTGTGTTTGTGTAAAATGCTTGATGGATAGATATCCCTGACCATAAACTTTAATGGAGGTGTAAAATTGAATGAGTGAATGCGAGTGACTTAGTAAATATGATTACTTAAAACTGAATGTGTTGGGAGATTTATCTGTACACTTCTACCTATCTCTTGTCTACACCCTTCTTAGTTGCAGTATCAATATTTGTTGGTTTATGTTTTTCTTATTATTTGGCCAGTTTATCATTTTATAGCCTTTTATTGCATACACAGGTGAAAGCATCTAATTTCTGTCTTTTTTCTTTTGACTTTGTTTCACATAATTCCCTCATGTTCCTATCATTTTGCTGTGAATAGCAGCCATGTATCTTTTTAATAGCTGAATAATATTCCATTGTTTAAATCTGACCCCTCTTCACCTGATTATCAACAGATACCTGAGTTGCTTTTCTACTTTAGCTATTATAGATAAGGCCTTAACAAGAATTGGGTGAATGTAATGTTGTGTTAGTAAGTAAAGGCCCTCCCGTTGATCATTGATTTGCTCGAGCGGGCCCAGTAACGTCTCCATTGGAGACTTTGTTGTTACTGTGTCTGGCATATCGAATACTCTCGGTAGCTTGCCGGGCTCTACGAGAGGGGCGGAGGAAATGTTGTGTTAATATTTTCAAAATCTTCACATGGAAACCCAAAAGTGGGATTGCTAGTCAGATAGCAGGTAGCTCTTTAGCTTCTTCAGAGAGTTCCATGAAGTTTTCCAAACCGTGCCAATTTACACTCCCTCACAAGTGCAGAAGTGGGGTGAATAGTACAGTGAGTAAACCACTTATTTTGCATGCATCTGTGATGCCACAATCCTATATCAAATTTCCAGACTACATATGGTCTTCCAAGCCATCAAATCACCTTCAGTGGTGACTCCTGAGAACAGAGCCAGGAACAGTCCCTGAGCACCACCAGGTGTGGCCCAAACCCTGATCAGCAAAGGAAAAGAGAAAAAGAGAACAGATAATTCCTTTCCCTCCACACCTTCTCCAACCCTTGTTGTTACTGCTGCTTTGAATATAAACGTCTCTCACCTGTGTGAGGTGGTATCTCACTGTGATCTTACTGATCATCACTAACAATGAGCTTTTTCCCCCAGAAATTTGTGACCTTTTTAAATGTCTTTTTTCTCTGTCTTCTCAGAGAAGCTGTCAGCAATTTTCTCACTGCCCTCAGTCTGCAAAGGAAGAGCAGGAATCAACAGCAAGTTCCTCATCCTGCAATCTCTGGGAACATCTGGGCAGCCCTCAGAATCGCGCTTTCTCTGATGGACCAACCGGAACTCTTCCAGGCGGCTAATCTGGGTGATCTGGATGTCCTCCTCAGAGCTTTCAACTTGGATCCTTGAAGGAAAAACAAAAAGCTTCTTTGCCCATGTAATTGTATTGGAAAAACTGCAACGTTATTTTATTATGAATTTCCAAAAGTACCAAGAAAATGTTCCAAAGGCCCTGGTTGATATGACCTGTCCAGTCTCTGTTCTATTCCAAAAGCACAAAACCTTGTATATAGAGTCAAAGGGAGGCTTGAAAGAAGACTTTAGAGACTCAGGACAAACCAAGAGAAAGTAACTGTGTCCTTTGGGGTTTTGCTCCCATTTGCAGCTGATGATGCATTGAAGGCATTTGCTCTTGGGCCACCTGGAGAATGCACTGCCTCAGATCACAGAATTCTGATTTTCAGAACTGTCGACTGAAATTTCCCCTTTTGTAAGGTTGAACATAGTTTGGGCCAAGGCGCATGCACATATATTAACTCTTGACTAAAGAGAGGCATTGCTTAAACCTGTTCCAATTTTAACTTTTCCTGTAGCCCTTTGATTCCAGAGAGGAAGCTTTGCTGGCAAAAGCAGTTTTTGCACTAGACATTTTTGCTGTTCCCAATCAGAACTTTTCTGGGACTGTATATATGCACTTTAATATCTTGTTTTAGCCTTGCTGGAGTTTTGTTTCGTTGCTCCACTTTTTAACTTGGGAGTGAAAGATTTGAGAACCCGGCCTTGTTAGATCAATGGACCAAATAAAAATGCCTGAAAATAGTTTTTTAGCGTAGGGTTTTGGAGGAGTGTTTTTTTTTTAATGCTGATATAATTTAGGGTGTAACTATGTCAAAGACAGATCTTACCGCTTTCTGGGACTGTGTGAACATAAACAAGAGATAAGGTCTCTTCATGCAGTCTCTGCAGGGAGAAAATTTGATGGTATCATGACTCCAAGTAAGTTAACATTAACTTGCTTAAAGTATCATGTTTCACTGGGTTTCTAACTGTCCTGCATTGATATTCCTTTTAAACTTAATATTTTAGATAGTGTTTCTTAAGAAGGATTTAAAGAGACATTTTTTTTCCTAAAAAATTATATGGGTTTTTTTCGCTCTCTTATAATTGTCACTGCTCACCCTTTTGAATTCTAAGTGATGGAAGAATATTTTCTAACTGACGCTTACTGAATGTCACTGATTTAATGTGAAAGGGGCGGGGCCCTTTGGCTCTCATTCCGCACATTTACCAAGCATTAGGACTCTTCACTGACAGTGTTTTATCTCATTAGTTAGAGTCCACTCAGTTCTCCAGAGTGTTTTGTGCCTGACGGGTGCTTGGTGATTATGTTTAAAAAAAATCCTTTTAAAAGAAATAGAAATATTGCTTGCAAAATGCTAACCAAAATATAATTTCACCAATGTCTGGATCTGTTGGTTTTCATCATTATCTCCTTAGTTTTTCCAGAATCTTCCCCAAGGCCATGAGACCCCCCAACTTTTTATTCATGTTCTTTTGTTAGTAATAGCTGGTTATGTGAAGGATGCTAGCTTCCAAACAATATAGCATTTGGCAGTTTAGTTGGCCCAGAAGTTAACATCCATGGAGGTAATAGGGGTTGAACACTTATAGTAAACACAAAACCCTGCCTAGTAATAAGTATAAATCCTTTCCTTTGTTACCTTGAAGTCTCTGGAATAGAAAGGGGTTAAGAGGGCCAGAAAGACAGTTCAGTGGGCTAAGCACATGCTTCACAGGTAGGAGCCTCAGGTTTGATCCCTGGCATGACATCGTCCCCCAAGCACTGCTGGGTATGGCCCAAAACCAAACAGAATAAAAAGGGGCCTCAAGTAAACATAAAAACAGAACTCTGGGCGATTACGGTGAGTTTTCTTACCTGTTGTAGTTCATAAAGAGAAAGAGTTGAGGGTGTATGATGGTGCCAGAGTCTCACCAAGACAAGGTATACTTCCTGTTGGAAATCAGAGAGCAGAGATATTAAGGCTTTCTCCACTCACCCTTGGACCAGTGAGAACCCAAATTTGGGCTAGCTCCCTGAAGTTTCAGAGACTAAGTTCAAAATTGATCCATATTTTCTAGAATACTATTGTTTATAATTTTAGACTCCTAGGAAGGACTCTTCATGGCAAGCCTGCAGCTTCTGGGCAGCTGCCATTAAATACTCCTGATAGAGTAGCTTTCATTTTCTGTATGCTCCTGTACCATCACAACTGGTCAGCTGTCTTGATTCCGTTCAGAATCTCGGAACAGAGGATTCAAAGCTAACCTAACTGGTGTTTTGTTTATAGTGCCATTCCATACTGGGAGCGATTGTGAGTTTCCCAATTATGACACACTATTCTCTGAGCTTTACTGGCACTACTTACATGTGATCATGAAATCAGTAACAACTAAAGTCTGACAGTAAAGTAATGTAGGACACTGGTTTAATGTAATAATTGCTGTTAAGTAATAGGTGGGAAACTTCATGGCCCAAGTTTTATGCTGTTATTGAAATAAAAAAAATATTGTCAAATTCCAATGGACTCTGTTAGGCAAAAGTAGAAAGTTTTCCATTTCCATCATGATCTGGTGATTTGAAGAGCATTTGGCAGGGCTTTCTCCAGTTTTCTAGTGCCCATCAGAACCCAAGATTTGCAATGACTGTTTCCTGTCAGAAAGTGTAGGATTAATAATGCCCAAGACATTTTTCAGTATTTTAATAAAATTAAGTAAAAACACTTACAAAAACAAATATAGTTCATAAAAACAAGAGCACCACCAAAAACTAATTGGAAGACTTCAGGACTCTGTTTTCTGTATTCACCTTTTCTTTAAGTCTGTGCATATACTTTAAATCAGAAGTGGTTCTCCCCCTCACTGTGTGAAAGTGTCTCTTATGAGTTACTCTTCCCATTTCATCGTAAGGACATCACTTAAAGGTGCCCTTCATTCCTTCTAAAGTGCTCTGGAAAGATTTTGAAACTCTTTTTCCTTAAACAAATAGTATTATTTAACTATAATACCCACTTAGATTCATAGATATGTTTTTGAGACCTGGTTTCACCAATCACACTTAATCACTTAACTTCCCGTTAGTCGTCGATTTGCTCGAGCGGGCGCCAGTAACGTCTCCATTTGTCCCTGTCACCAATAGGTAGATAAAAATATAAAGAAAAAGAAAAATCACTGACCATTGCTGAATTTCAAAAAACACAAGAACTCTCCTCTAATGGTCATTTTTATAAGCAGCTACCAAATGCATTAGAAGGGAATGGAGGAAATGGGAAGAGATGGGGGAGCCATAAAACATCTCCTACTGAATCAGTCACACTGATTTATTCATTTCCTTTGTCTCTCCCAAGATCACTTCCTATACCTCCAGGAAGAAAGGCAGTTCTTATCTACCAAGAAACTTCAATGAAAAACCAGAGCTGTGAGTCTTAGCCAAACTGCCTTTCAACTAGATTGGAATATTAGTCAAAAATAAAATAAGTGACACTTCACTGAACTGCAATGTCAAGGACACTCTAGATTTCAGAGTTTTATGCCATGTCCCTCATTCTTTACTTTTAAAAAGACCTACTATGTTGAATCTTGGGGCCATGTCTAAATAGTTAAACTGCATATTTCTAATATAATCTTGATATACAAGCAATACTTGAACCCAGTTGTATCTAGTCCCACTTACAACAAGAGCTCCCAAATTCTGGAGTATCATAAACTCCTTCTGTGAGCACCTTGGGAATATAAACATAGAAAGATGGTTATTTTGTATGCATCTTCATTACCAACATGAAATTCAGCTCCACAAGTTCAGACTATATTTTAAATTCATTGTTTTGCCATTGCTTTAGACCTTGAAATGATTCTAAAAGCATTCTAGAAAAACATAAAGGTATTCTTTTATTTACTTATTTATTTATTTTTATTAAATCACTGTTTACACAGAGATACACAGTTACAATGTTGTTCATGATTGAGTTTCAATCCTAAAATGTTCCAGCACCCATCCCCAAATTATGATATTCTGTAGACTTCACTTGTATGCCACCATTTTGAGTCTACCATTTTGGAAATTATCACACATAACTTCAGCTTCTAAAATAACTCCAAATCCATTCCCTCTCCATGCTTTATTGAAGTTTCCCTATCATTTCAGTATTTCTAGAACTGGTTGAATTAAACTGTTTTGAACTTAGTAGATATATATACATATAAATATATATTTTTGAAGAGGTTCGAAGATTAACTCTGGTATCAGGTTTATGAAAAGGAAGTTTTTTAAAAGCAAAACATATAACCTCAGGTACAAATATATCGCATGCATTAGTACTTGCAAATCTGCCTATTCAAATATTAACCAAAGCATGCAAGTTAACTTTACTGAATGTAAATTTATCCAGTGCATGATTAAGTCTCATAGGTTAGCATATTTTCCCTTGCTCCTGGACAAGGAAGCATTTTCATGAACTTTGTGTTACAGTTTTTCTATTTGCTTTTAATATCCCATCCTTGAGATTGTTTTTATGTGATGGTAATGAACCTTACAGATATTCACACATCTGGTTTCTGCAGTGTTGTAACGTCAAATAAATCCTCTGAGGAATCCAAGTAGTTAAGCCCTCCAAATGATTTTTTTTAACTAATCAAGGCATAACAGATCCAAAACTGAAACACATACCTTAAAAAATTGTCTTGATGTGTTTAAATCTAAACAAATTACCTGAGCAGTTTGGAGTTCTAAATTCTGCAGTGTGCATTTCAAAAATCTTATAAAATCATAGGAGTAAGTGCAAACTAGATACAGACATCCTGAAAACGGTGGGTAAGTTCAGATAACATCAGACACCTGTGAACCACGATAAATAAGGCAAAGTTGACATAGGGCCTTAATTTCCATAAATGTCACGTAGCCAGTGTGGGAGGCATCACAGCACCCAGGGCATGGCTTTGTTCAACTAAGAGGTGAATTACTTGGCCCATGTCCTTTGAACATCTAAAAACACCAAAATTCAGGAGTGCTGAGGAGACTTCGCAATCACTCTGAATGGCTCTGACGTCCTCTCCTGGCCTATTACTCTAATCCCCTTCTTAACTTTAGGGAAAAACAAGGTCAAGGAGTTTGGAAATTAAGAGAACAAGGCTCAGTGAGACCCCCAAAAATGTGGGGGGGGGGCTGTCTTACATTCGTAAGATCTTCCCACATCACACACCTTTATGTCCCCACCCACAAACACAGGTATTTCGAGACAGAATATCGGCCAAGACGAGATTCCCTGGCAAACATGCTTGCCTGGCAAATGCAAGGTCATGAGTTCAAACCCTAGTGCCGCTGTCAATACTGGTAGGGTTCTTATAAGCACTTCTGTTAGGGCTCCCTAGTGAAAGGGGACCCAGAAGATAGCTCGGCAACTTACAAAGTGTCCAAGATAAAGGTGAAGTTCTGAGTTAAAGCCCAGATTCACCTCTGTGCTGAGATGATTTTGAATATGCTACAGTCTGTGGTCAACCAGAGAAGAAAAGTCAAATATAGCATTTCCAAAATACTCTCAATCTCTCAATTTAACTATTGAGGAGAAAGAGGAGAGAGTGAAGGAGAGTGAGAGAGAGAGAGAGAGAGAGAGAGAGAGAGAGAGAGAGAGAGAGAGAGAAGAAAGGGGACAGAAAGCCCAAAAACCTAACGTTTGAGTTTTAACAAACTCTCATGTGGCAATTTGCCTTAAAGAAAGTTCCCACCACTTGCAACCTCTGCAAAAATACCAAAATAACACAGTCTA